TTTTAATTGTGATTTTATTGTGAATTGCTGGATGCTGTGCCATTTTTTATCTCTGCTTGTTGTAAACTGTCCCAAGATGCTAGCAATAGGATGGTCTATAAAAGCTTTACATAATATGTGTGTGTGTGTGGGGGGGGGGAGAGCACTGTTGTTTTATTGTTCTATAACGTTGTTTACGTGGCGTCTTTCTTTCCCCCTGTCTTTTCCTCTTCTGTGAACTGGAAGGATTGAGGAGAAAACTACCTGGTCTCCACTGTTCTTTTCTTTCCTCCCTCAGGTTCTGAAGTCTGGTGTAATTTCCTCCGAACTCCTCCTGGCGCTGTCGTTCATTCCCACACGTCTGGGAAGGAAGGTATGTATGTCAGTGGGTTGCAGGAGCCCAGGCAGTCTGTTCGCTATATCACTGGCCTTTGCTCGAGGTGGGGAGAGAGACTTCTTGACATACAGTATATCACAGAAGAAGGAGCTGATAGATGAAGTACAGATTAGGGGAGCTCTGGATGCAAGTGACCACTCCATCCTTTGCTTTGAGATCAGGGGACTGGGGACGTGCAGCGGGTCAAGTACTAGAAGCTGGGACTTCATGAGGGCCAACTGAAGGCCAGACTGGGGAGAGTCTCCTGGGACAGGTTCACTGTTGCAGCACGTAACGCTTTGCCAGCTGATGTTACACCCAGATGTACATCTCCCTTCCCTGTAGAATTCAGTTTAAAGCCACCTTGATAAGAGTTCTTCATGCTGCAGCCAACTGTGTCCTTTCCTTTCTTTGTAAGGTGCAAGCCATCACTTGCCAGCGGTCCATCTTCCAGGAAGTTTGGCCCGGGATCCAAATCCCTCACGGCTGCACCATCATCACATCCAGGAATTCACGTGGAGTCTTTTTTTGCCCCTGTTTTTCCTCTTCTGTGAACTGGAAGAACTGAGGAGAAAACCACCTGGGCCCGCTGTTCTTTCCTCCCTCAGGTTTCAAAGTCTAGTGTAATTTCCTCCGAACTCCTCCTGGCGCTGTCGTTCATTTCCACACGTCTGGGAAGGAAGGTATGTATGTCAGTGGGTTGCAGGAGCCCAGGCAGTCTGTTCGCTATATCACTGGCCTTTGCCCGAGGTGGGGAGAGAGACGTCTTGACGTACATGTCTTTCCTTCTCGGGCAACAGGGAATCTCCCCCAACGATCGCTCTTCTCCTTTTGGTGTTGCAAACTTTGCCATCCTTTTCAGGGTTCCTCGGGGTTTCGTGTGGTTCCTCTGCAGCAGGTTTCTCACTCCTCAGTTTCCTTGATGAGGATGGATACTTGCTACTCAGGTGCTTTCACCTTTTCTCCCAACAGGGCTATTACCTTGTGCTTGTCGCACATCTTGGCCATGTTAGGTAGGCAACCGAAAATTGCACAGACATCACAGGCCCCCAGCGCTACAGAGCCTTCCCGGCCCATTCCCCGTGCTGACTTTGGTCCTCACCAGGGTAGCGCCAGCTTTCGGACAGACTTGGCGAAGTCGCCCATCCCGGGTCGCTCAGCCTCCTTGCTGCCGTGGGGCCGTCCTCACTGGGCCATCCTGCCCCGAGCTCCTTTCCATCACAGCCTCCACCACGACCGGAAGGAAGGGAGCGAGTACCTTTGCCATGGCATAAGCTGCCTGCCCTTTCACCCTGCACCATCACAGGATCAGAGAAGGGCTGAAAGGGGCCGGAGGGCCATCGGATCCAGCCCTGCTCAATGCAGGACTCCCAGTTCAAGCATCCCTCCCAGGTGGCTGTCCAGATGTATCTCAGGGCCACTGGCTTCATGGCCGTACTGCTTTAGCAGTCAGGATTTTTTTCCTGAGATCTTGCCAAAATCTGGCTTTCTTTAACTTGGCCCCTTTATTCCATATTTTGCACTCTGAGTTTGCCCCTTTTGCAGTGCCAGCACATTTTTGACTCATATTCAGCTTGTGAATTAGAATAATTCCAAGAGGATTTATTATTTATTTTGTTATAATTTACAACTTTTCTATACTGTGCCATTACAAATGTCTTGGGACAGCTTACAGCAACATTGATAAAATAGAATAAAAATAAAAATAAGAGTAAAAAATGTCACAGCACCCAGTAAGGTAAAGGTAAAGGTTTCCCCTTGGTGTTCACTCCAGTCATGCCTGACTCCAGGGGGCGGTGCTCATCTCCGTTCCCTAGCCGAGGGAGCCAGTGTTTGTCTGCAGACAGTCTCTGTGGTCATGTGGCCGGCATGACTAAACACCGCAGTGCACGGGACACTGTTACCTGCCCACGGAAGTGGTACCTTTTTATCTACCTGCCTTTGCATGCTTTCCAACTGCAAGGTTGGCAGGAGCTGGGGCGGAGCAACGGGAGCTCATCCCGTTGTGCAGATTCGAACCAGCGACCTTTCGATCAACCAGCCCAGCAGCACAGCGGTTTGAACCACTGCGCCACCTGCAGTCCCTACAGCACCCAGTATTCGGTGTAAAACCACAAATCAAAACAATTTAATCATTACAATATTGGGAGAACAAAGATGTTTTCTCCTGGTGCCGAAAGGAAAGAAGTTGGCGCCAGGCGAACGTCTCTGGGGGGCGTATTCCACCGTCGGGGCGCCACTGCAGGGATCCTTCCCATTTGCAGGCCAGGTATTCCCCAACTTGTAAGGATGCATCTGGCTGCTTTTTCCTAGCTTCACAACTTGGCATTGGTCCCTGTTGGATTTCATCCTGTTGTTTCTGGCCCGGTGCCCCCAACCCATCAAGTTCACTCCTTGGAAGGCCCTGGTGTTTAGGCTTCAGGGTCTTCCACCTTCCGGCAGACTGTGTTTTAGCTTCTTGGCCCGGAAGATGGACAGAGGATAGACACAGGGTGCCATGCGCTGAAAGGATGTGCTTCTCGGGCTCGCGAATGAGCTTGCATTCCACACTTGGCTGAGGTAATCCGACTGCAGCACAGACTTCTTTTTCCCATCCCCTCCCATCCTTGCTCAGGCACTGTAGCCTGACATGACCCGGGCCATCGACTGGTCAATTACTCTCAATAGCAGCGCTAGATTATGGTGAGGAAGAGCATTTTGCCAGTGGGGAGAGCTGGGCAGGAGGTGACCCTGAAGCTAACGTAGCTGCCAAGCTCTCACCTGCACCCAGGTAGGCTTTCGGTGCAGCCAATGGGAGGCTTCTCTCTCTGTCCATCTGCTGAGTGATGTTCTGCTGTTCCTGAGTGGATTGCAACTGCCTCAAGAGATCAGAACCTCTCCTTGCAAGCAAGTCTGGGTCTTTCGTGTCCTTCCTTTGGGACGCCCAGAACCTTTGAGCCCCCTGCAGGGGGCTACATCCTTGCTCAATTGCAGGCATCTCATGGTGGGGCTGTAAAAATTCCTACCTGGAAATGACAGCGTCTAAGGGATGGCCTGGTTTCTGCTGGTTTGATTTCCCTCTGGGGAGCTGCTGCAGGAGAGAAGACAACAGACCGGATCATCTTTTTGCAATGGGCCTTGGAATTCCTTGTGTGCGCTTGCGCATGCACACATTTTCTTATGTTGTATCTCTTCGTGTTTGGTAAGAGTCGCTTCAGATTGTAGGAACCCTCTATCTCTGATGTGTTTTGATCTCAAATTTGCTGTCAGTACAACACCCTTGAAAATTAGCTTTCTTTTCTTACGGAAATATTTCATTGCCTGGCTACCTAGACAGTATAGAGTTCATCAAAATCTCTGTATGCAATGTCTTCTCTGTAAAGGCAATCCTTAAGAAATTGAGGTTTCAGAAACATAGAAACAGAGCGAGTCAGAAGGGGCCTTCTGGGCCATCTAGTCTGACCTCCAGCACTAGCTGGCTCCGCTCACGACATGCCCACCATGTGCATGTCCAGCCTATCTTTGAACCCCCACACCGATGGAGCCTCAACCACCTCCTGTGGGAGCCCATTCCACACCCTCGGGGTCCTAACTGTCAGGAAGTGCTTCCTGGCATCTAAATGGAACCTTGGTTCCCTGAGCTTTGCTCCGTTGGAACGCCTCCTGCCTTCCTCTGCAGGGGAGAACAGGTCTCTACCCATCTCGTGTGACATCCCCTCACATACCTGTATGTCGCCAGCAGATCCCCTCTGAGTCTCCTCTTTTGCAGGCTGAAGAGATCCAGTTCCCTCAGTCTCGCCTCATACCCCATCCCCTGCAAACCAACCACCAACCTTGTGGCCCTACGCTGCACTGACTCTAACCTGGCTATATCCTTCCTGTAATGAGGGGCTCAAAACTGAGCACAAGACTCCAGTTGCGGGCACACCAGAGTTGTATAGAGTGGTAGTAATACCTCTCTTGATCTAGAAGCCACACGTCTGGCTATGCAACCAAGGGTGGCGCTCGGCCTCTTGACCACCGCATCACACTGCTGACTTGTGTTTAGCCTGCAGTCAACCAGCACCCCAAGGTCCCTTTCACAAGTACTGCTCTCCAGCCACTTGTCCCCTAACCTGTACTTATGACACCTATTCCTATGCCCCAAGTGCAAGACCTTGCACTTATCCACATGGAACGCCATCCTGTTGCCTCCTGCCCACTTCCATAGTCTGTCCAGATCCTTTTGGATCTGGAGTACCTGCTCCTCAGTTGTGGCCACTGCTCCAGTTTTAGTGTTGTCTGTGAATTTGATCAGCAGACTGTTCACCCCTTCTTCCATGATGTTGATGAAAAGATTGAACAGGATTGGCCCCAGGACAGAGCCCTGGGGGACCCCGCTTGTCACTGGCTGCCATTCCAATGATTCCCCACTAATGGTTACCCTCTGCTTTCGGTCAGTCAACCATGCCCTAATCCACCGGACAGTGCTTTGGTCTATCCCAAAACTCCTCAGTTTCTCCACCAGGATATGATGGGGCATGTTGTCAAAGACAATCTTCTCAATAAGGGCAATCCTTAAGAAATTGAGGTTTCAGAAGCATAGAAACTGAGTGAGTCAGAAGGGACTTCCCTGGCCATCTAGTCTGACCCCCCCCCCCCGGCTCTGCTCATGAATACCTGCAGGGCATGCAAGGTGAAAAAGGGAGAAACCTGCAAATGCTAAAAGGAAAGGTGCCAACCTTTCCTTGAGCTCAAATGAATTCAGCTGTTTCAGCCTTCCACTCATACCAAGACTTTCATTCTCTCTTTTATCCCAAGCAGATGAAAACCAAAACAGTATGGAGCCCTGAGTCATATCATCAGAAACAAGTGAGCATGAAGTAAGAATAGAGACATTTCTAAATTAAACAGTATCCAAAAAGCAAAAGGAAAATCAAGGAAAGAACAAGAGGAAAATGTCCTGTTTCTCTCCGAGTATTGGAGACCATAACCCTTTATTCCAGAAGTTCAGAAAAGAAGGAGAAATGGTCTAGGGTGTGATAAATTGCCAAAAGATAGATGAAGAAATAAACCCAAATTGTAGGAACTACAATACCAAATGAATGTGCAGAGTATAGTAATGAAGAATCCTCGACTTAAAAGAACTCACATTGTGCAATACCCAAATGAACACGTGTGCTACGGAAACAGCCTCAGAGAGAGCAGAGGTTTTAGTGAGCATCACTGATCCAACACTTTCAGGAAGCCATCTAGAAACATGGAATGTAGGCCAAGCTTAAATGCTGGTGGAAGGCAAACAAAAAACAAGAGAGTCCAGACTGGAGAGCAGCCATATAAATGCATAGAATATGCTAAGAACTTCAGTGACTCTGGAACTCTTTCTAGACATCCAAGGAAGGATAGAGCGGAGAGAACAAATAAATGCTTGGAATGTGGAAAGAGCTTCAGTCGGAGTGGAATTCTTACTAACCATCAAAGAATCCACACTGGGGAGAAGCCATACACATGCATGGAATGTGGAAAGCGCTTCACTCAAAGCGGAAGTCTTTTTCAACATCAAAGAAGCCACACTGGGGACAGGCCATACATATGCATGGAATGTGGCAAGAGCTTCAGTCAAAGTGGAAACCTTACAAGCCATCAACGAACCCACACTGGGGAGAAGCCATACAAATGCAAGGAATGTGGAAAGAGCTTCAGTGACAGTGGAAGTCGTACTAAACATCAGAGAAGACACACTGGGGAGAAGCCATACACTTGCATGGAATGTGGGAAGTGCTTCCATATAAGTGGCGGCCTTACTAAACATCAAAGAATGCACACTGGGGAAAGGCCATACATATGCGTGGAATGTGGAAAGAGCTTCCATGAAAGTGGGGGTCTTACTCAACATCAAAGAATCCACACTGGGGAGAAGCCATACACATGTATGGAATGTGGAAAGAGCTT